GGTAGGGATTTCATCTTGAATTATTTATCACAAATCACAGTCATAACTCATAAAATATAAAACATAAATCATAACTAGTAAAACATAAGTCATAGATTCATAGCTCAAAAATAAAAGATAAATAAAAAAAATGAATTAAAAGGACAAAAAACACAAACAAACAAACAAACAAACAAAAAAGTGAAAGAGAAGAGAGGGCTCACAAGTCACATGTGTGAGCGGCACTCAGGTGGACTCTGTGTGAGGCAAGAGTGGCCTATTCTTATTTCCTGAAAAAGATATTAAACAAAAAACTAAGTTTACAGGCTTGCATAATTTGCATTAATACAAGGCAGACACATGGAAATCGAAAAAATGGGCCATTAGAACTTAGAAGTTTCTCACCAGCACATAGGCATCCTATTTCTAATGCCACCAATTGAGGTTTTGACCACCGAAATAAGCAATAACATCTGCGGCCAACAGCAGGGAAAAGGAGAACAGTTACAGAAGGGTTTGCTACGATTATTGCCTCTGATTTGGAGGTGTGGTTGCAGTTATGTGTATATATCCATCAATCATCATCCATGGATTGGGTCTAATTTTTTTTCAAACAAAGAGGCCCAACTCATCAGCCCAAAGAAAAAGGCCTAAACTAAAAAAAAAAAAAAAAAGACCCAAATTCAAAATTTCATCTTCCTCCTCCAGTCCTCCCTTCTTCAGTTCAATCGCGGCTCTGCAACTTTCAATCTTCCACCCGACGGCTAGTGAAGACTCTGGCGGATCCAGCTAGGGCGGTCGCCCAAGCTCGCCACTACCTAGATCCACCACTGGGAGGAAGGAAAAAATGTTTGCAAAGTAACTCTTTTTAGGTTCAAAGAAAACAAAGAAAAAGTGAGAAACGTAATTTTTTAAAGTGCTCCCCCGCAATCCAACTCAACCCAATTGTTGGTTTAAACTCAATCCAACCCAACCCAAACTGATCAATTTTAGGGTTGGGGCTTGGGCTCAATTCAAGTTGGATTTGATTATTAATTTTTGTTAAATTTGGACAATTTTTTACAGTTTAAAATCACTTGAAAACATCTATTGTTTTTAATCTATATAAGAAATTCTTTTTAAAAAATAATGTGTAAATTTGAAATTATGGAGCTTTTTTTACAACAATTTTTGAATTCATTCACTTCATCATTCCATATTTAATTTTAGTTCACCATAAAATAACTTTGCATTTGTAAATATTGTCAATCAGTCTATGTAAATAAAAGGACATTTGAACATTCTAAGTCTTTCTCTTATCTCCACTATTGTATCTATTTGGATTTTTTTTATTTTAGGCACTAACTTTCTAATTGATTGGTGTTTGATAAAATCTAGTAAGTGTAAGGGATCGTTGACAAGTAATAAATTTGAGTGACTTAATACCAATTCAAGTTCACTAGTTATGTATGGAATTCGAATTATGTAAACAAAAGAGGTTTTGGTGTTGATTATTCTAAATCTAATAAAGTCATAAAAAATTGGTTTTTATTAAATTATGGATGATTATAATAGACTACAAATCCATCTATTGTTATCTATTTCAATTCTTGATTTGTAATATAAGTCATTTCATGCTTTTTTGACAATCAATAAAGCTACTTATTTAACTTCATTTTTCAAGACAAATTAAATTTATTCTAATCACATATAAGTCTATTCCTAGTTTAAATTCGAATGACTAGAATGCATTAAATTTTAGGTTATCTACTTGATTGCATAAGTGATAAATATTAATCCTAACATCTATTGTGCACATACTAATTTGTAGCGTTTTAAACTTATTGTGAGTCTTCTGACAATACAATAAGCAACTAATTATATAATTGATGGCAAAATAATTAAATAATGCAATAAGAATGTAAAATTAATCAAGAAAAGGAATAACAAACTACTAGTTTAAATTAAAATAATTAAAAAAAAGAATTTATCTTCAGCCAATACAAAGAAGTTCTAGTTAAACATGTTTCTAATGATAAAACAACAAGAAAAATATCACTCGAAATTTATAAATGCAAGAAAGAGATGCACGGTCTAATTCTTGATCTTGTTTCTCAACCTCAAGCTTTGATTATTCAAGTTCTTGATTTTTTTTTTATTCGGTCCATGTGCTAGATTTGTTCTCCCCACCAAATTATGATGAATTTTTCCCTCGTTCTTGAATGATTTTATGCTATGGAAGTGATTTGAGAGGTGGGATAGAGATCTTCCATGGATGATTATATTAGATAGAGATAAGGTAAAATTAGATTAAAAAATGCGTTCAAGTTAGGTTCCTAAAATGTTTCAATCAAATAAGAAAATATACCTTCACACGTGCATGATTATCTCTTTGCACACTCGTCAATAATTTGGTCACAAATTTCTCTCCTGATATTCGATTGAGTTTATTCAAAATGATTGGAATGCTAACTCAAAGTGTTACAATTAATGAAGAAGTAGCCATTTTTCTATTAGAACGATTACTAAATTAAAATGGGTCTCCATCTCCGACTAAAAATCTGGAATATAAGTTGTACGGATGAAAATTGATTTGTAAGAATCCTTTGATTTTGGTTGTATTTCACTCCTTTTTGACTTCTAATTGCATACAATTGGCTCCTTGTAATCTTCAATTATCATCTTGTGGTTCAAATCAACTATTAGATATTTACAATTTGATCCCTAACTTTATATTTCATTTTTTTCACCCATTTTTCACTTCTTTCTTCTAATTCACCCAATTTATCTCGATTTTTACCTAACAAATAAAATTAAAATATAAATAAGCTCTAATTCATTCAAATTAACAATAATGGCTCTCATTTAATAACCAAATAAGTATATAGAAATGCACTCATCAAATACCTCCAAACTTGAACAATTATTTATCCTCTAACAAAATATAGCTTAACTTAACCAAAACTTTTTTAAACAAACATGATTAGATAATTTGTCATTGGTCTTAGGATTGAAATTTATGTGTTAACGTTATGAGCTACTTCAAAATCACAATGTTAAAATTAATTTCTACTTATCTAATGCAAAATCGACGCCCGTGTGTACAAATTCATGTCAAACATCATAAATCCAGCCCTTGTTTGAGCCTCATTCTTTTAAAAATTTATTTTTTTAAAAATTCATTTTCAACCATAAATTCTTCAATAAAATAATATTACACACAACCCAAAATTTTTCCTTAATATTTAACTACACATTCTCCATCAATCACTATTTAAAAATGCATTCTTTCCCCTCAAAATGGGGCTCAAACAAGTTCTCATTAGGTGATTTATGTCCCGGCCCTAATTGGTCGAATATTTACTTCATTCTCGCATAAGGTTCACATTCAAACTAATTTTTTTTTAAACTCTTTTCCTAAAGTGTGATCTAAAGTTGAATTTTTTATACTAATCATTACCCTCTTTACTTTGGTTAGATCTTACTAATTGCAGCTAACACATCAACAAATGAGAATTCTCTTTATTTTTGGTTACTTCAACCTCCAAAAATCAACTAGGCTAATAATCCTTTGTCAAATGTCTAATTCTCTAAAACAAGTATTTGGAGTTTAATCAAGGCATGTAGTACACCTTTTGTTACTTGCTTTTTCTATTTTTATTTTTATTTTCATTTTCATTTTATGTTCAAACTTATCTCAATTAAGCTTTTTAAACTTGAGTCATGAAGGCTATAAAAAGAAGTTTCATAATGTGAGTTTCTTTCTTCTTTGAAATTATTTTCCCATGCAATGTCCAGTACAATGCCCCTAACTAAACACTCATTCTCAAAAATTGACACAAAAATTTACACTTAATTTTCATCTTTTTTGCATTAAACAATTCACAAAATATGCATATAATCTATATTTATCTCAATATCTCCCTACATCAGTTCAGTCGCCCCCAAATTATATGAAAATAGGTTTAAGGATGTACAATTTAGTGTTTATCTAGGTTTAGCATCTATGGTCCACTAAATTTATTTCAAACTATTCAAAATTTGAATCAAATTAATCCTTAATGATGCAAAACAATAATCTTGTGTGCAAAAATGTCAAATTTTACATTAATAAGCATAAATCAACCTATCATGCAACTTTTTCACTATTTATAACCTTACACATGGTTCCAAATATATGCATCATAGGAGACGAATTTATATAATCAACGAAAGTATATAAAAGCAAAACTAAAACTGAAGATAATTTTTTTTTTTTTTGAATTTTTGAAGTTTTTTTGCAAGTACCAAATAGTAAAAATAGATAAAAACTGGATATTTTTTAATCCCCAAATTTATAAGAGATATTGCCCTTAATGTCTAAAAATATAACTAAGTATTTCCCTGATATATATATTTGAAGGTGGTAGATAGATTGGCATAAGAGTGTTGGATCACTTGTTATGTATTTTACCTTATCCAATGTACTTAGATGTCATGTTGTTTCTTCAAGAAAAATAAAATAAAATTCAATTATACCATGGAGCATATTTAAACAAGCTCTAAAGCTTCTTAAAGGAAAATATGAATATAAGGATTCTCTAAATTACTAAAAGCAATAAAATTTACAAAACTACTAAAAAAATGAAATTTACTAATCCTATATTTTAGAAAGTAAAAATAAATAAAAGAGAAGAAATTGAATTGCATTCCAATAAGTGCTTATTTATAGTCATTAGCTTGACTTTCATGTTTTACACCATGGAATTCTGGAGAAAGCTTTCGATTCAAACACCCATTTAAGTATTTAACTTAAGAAAAGCCGCTCGATTCGATTTAGTTGGAATCGGGTCCAATTTGTCTCATTTGATTCGAAAGTTTTGTCTAATCTTAATAAAAACTATGCAATAGATCTCTTGCGAGTTCAAATCCTTTGCTATTCAAATAATGGCACCACAGGCCACAACAATTGCATGAGCAATTGAATCAGTACACATTACAAATTTTAATCAAAATGACCCGTCATTTTTCCAATTCTCTGTTACATTCCACAAAATTATAGATAATTTTAAATCACTTTCTCAGACCAAAATTGCAGATTAATGGAAAAACTATTATCAATTACTCAACTCAGTTTGAAGCTTACTATCAGAATTAATCAATAACCGTACTTTAAGCGAGCATGACCCACAAGAAAGAACAACAGATGCAGGTGGAGATCTAGGCGCTTGCAAAACAATTTTACTCCCATTTTTCAACAGTCGATATCCCATATCTGACAACTCCAGAGAATCGATTAGGAAGTAATCGCCACATCTGCAGCCATACAAAAGCTCAAAAATATCACCAACCTCTTCGATTGACAGATCCTCTAATCTGATATCTTCAGCAGTTGCAGAATCTTGCCTCAAAGATTGCAGCTCGTTATCATTAAGTGCACGAGATTTTGAATCTCCGAGGATTTCCCAAGCCCTCTGCACCTCTAAAAACCTTCTGCCCAACTCGTTTGCAGGATTTGATGTTTGGGATGTTGTTTGCATTTTATCTGGATGATAACTCAGAATGGCAGTTCGGTAGCATGTACGAATTTCGTCAGAGCTAGCATCTTCCTTCACATCGAGGATCTCATAATGAGATTTGAGGATTAAATTTCCACTCTCAATCATGATTGAACACTGCACGTATCAAAAGATCCATTACAAGAGCATCAAATGTATAGCAGGCTACAAGTTTGGCTATGCTTAAAAGGTTTTCTAACAGGTAAATAAGTTCTTTCAAAAAGAAATAATTCATTTATTGATCAAAGAAGGTAATGAATTATTTATTTTGACACTAAAGTATTACTCTGAGAAAAAATAACTTTTTATTAAAAGTAAGTTATCTAAAGACAAAAAGTTACTTAGGCCCTGTATGGTAGTTATTTTTTTCAAAATGCATTTTTCTCTCTCTTCTTTTCAACCACACATTCTTTATTAAAATAATATTACACGTAAATCAAAAACTTTTCCTTATTTTTCAACTACACATTTCACATCAATTTACTATTCTAAAATGCATTTTTACATAAAAATGTCTATCAAACACCTTCTTAAAAATTAACTTTATTTTTTTGTAAGCTTAGCCAAAGATGCTGTAAGAAAACCTAGATTGCAAAGTCGAAGACCAAACAAGAGGCAAAAGACTACACCAACTATTGATTAAAATAATTCCCAAATCCTGCAATTAGTAGAAACCAAAGTTTCCTATTGTATCATCATGGCATTTGAATTTTCTTGCTATTTCACAATTTTGAATCAGATTATACAGTCCTCATAATCCTATCAGGGAAATAGGCCCTTCCAGTTGTACATCTTCCAGGATCTATCTATTATGTGCATCTTACAGTAATATCTAGGAGCTTAATTCATAAAACAACTTCTTCCGTTTGGGCACTAACAAATGTACTTCTGTAACGTGATGACCAACATATGAGCATAATCATCAGACTAAGCCACAAAATAGAAGAATAAACCAAAAAGTTTACCATGTTTGCACATCCAATCCCAAAAGCAGCCCAATTATCGTATTTTTTAGGTAGCCACAAGTTTTCTCCTTGTTTTTACTTGAACAACCAGAATGGCAAGGGAAAGTCAGCTTTTTACCCAAATTAAGGTGACTCAAGTTATTGATAGTAAGTTGGCAGCTTTTGCCTTCCGAAGAGCACTCTTACTGAAGTGCTCAGTTCAGTCTATACTATTATTTTGAAATAGAGATCCACAAACATGCCAAAGAAACAACATATCACCCCAAAGTCGGCTTTCATTTAATTCCTTAAGAAAGTAACTTTTTATTCTAAAATCCTACAATGGGCCTATATTGTATGAAGTTTGCAACCATTTTTAACCAATAGGGGCTAACTAAATACAAAGTTTTGTCACTTGTTAAATACAGCATCTCATTTTCCTATATCAACACATCTCAGTTTTTTTCTTCTTTTGTTCTTATCATTCTAACATTTTAATATTTAATATTTTCATTTCATGGGAATAAATAGCATCCATCAATGGTTACAGACAGTATCAAGCAAGCTCACAATAAAATTGTTGTACACAAGAAAAGTAAACACTTTTATATTTTATACTTTTAATTGTTAGATAAATTTACACCAATTAGAATGACAGTCGAACCACATAATATTGTGTAGAAACAGATCATCAGATAAAAAATCAGAACCCCCTTTTCCTTTTAATTTCAGCTTCATTTGTGAGGGTTCGCGAATCAATAAGATGTGAAGTAACATTCCAAGCCATAGTACTACCAGAAGCTTCTACCACTCCAATAATATGTAGACTCATCAAAATTTCCCCATCAGCGATATTAAATAATGCAATCTCAAAACCAAACATCAATAACGAAAAAGTAAGCCCAAACAAGTAAATGGTCATGAAAAATGGTTAGGCATACCGTTTTTAGTATGACCCTACACATCATAACAAAGAGTACAAACACAAAATTTTCATATTTGATGAATTTTAACTCAGATGTGTACATGGCAGGAGCCGGAGCCGGACCTTGGGTATATTAACTGCCCCCACTGGATTTTGGTCCTGGTTATTTCACGTATTACACTTGAGGGGCAGCAAGTTTTCAAAGCAAGGAGAAAACAGTGAACAACCGCATCAAAAATTCAAGAGAAGTGTTGTCGAAAAAATCAATGTTGCTACAGGAAAATTATCATCAAGAATCAACAGTTTTGGAACAAATTATAAGGACTTGAGATAAAATTAAATCATTCACACAACATTCAAATAGAATGCGATTTCATCATATATAGCCATTTTTACACTAATAAAATCCGATACTACCTCCCAAGTTTGGTGATGCAGAAGTTGAGTAGAAAGCACAGCACCACGAGATAAATTGGTGCCCAGGGGCGATGAATTGTTCCCGAATTTTAGCGTAAATCGAGGAAGAGATCCGATCGTCCCCTTTGCTCTATACATAAACTGTAAACAGGCTGGGTAAGAGTTGGATATCTATGCCTTTAATTTGGGCTTTTTTTCAGATGGGCCTCAAGCAAGCGAGTAATAAAAAAATAAAAAAAGCTTTTACTTTTGACAAATTAAGTTATTAATAAAAAAAATTGTTAAATCACATTCAGTAATTTAATTAATTCAAAATTTTCAGAATTTTCGTGTATAATTTATTTATTTTTTTACGTTTCTAATATTGTTCCTAAAATTATGATAATTTTAGCGGTATGGTCTCTTTTTTATTGCAATATATAGAGTGTAAGTGGATCAATCACCTGATTTGTACTATAAAATAGCCATTATTTCTTCACTAACATAATTAGAAGGTCAATAAATTCAATATCACAACTTTAAATGGTTACGACTCATATGAGCTATAAATACATGTTGCTAGCCCCCAGGTGTCACACCCCCAAATTAACATTGATATCTATACACAACATAGATATAAAATTTTACATATATATTTTTTTTCGAGTTTGTTAACTTCTAATCACCTGTGACACGATCATATAACATATCGAAACCCAAAATCATATCGCCATAATCCAACATCTATATTCTGAGCTTATAAACACATCTACAGGCCATTTCAAAAGTACACTATATAGGATTCCAAAATATAACCCAACAGATAGCAGCCTACAAAATAACCCTACAGGTCGTCATCCATGTACATCGAACTCTGGAATCCTGTAGGAGCTCCACAGCTAGCCATGCTCTCTATGTAGTTCCATGTTCATCTACAATGCAAGAACTACATAAGCCAATGCTTAGTAAGCAAAATCATGCATGTCCTGAACATGAGTAATAACGACATATGACATCATGCCATTTACTTTAAATATCACGATAAAAAGTTTCATATTTCAATATTTGTCAAATTCGACTAGAAATCATTTCACTTGAAATCTTTCATTTCATTGGGCCCTTGACTCACCTACTACGCACCGGATAGAGCTCTGCATAATATCAATATCAATAATCAAATGGCCAGTATGAAATCGACACCGACAAGTGGACCATCCTCTCGTGACCACTAGAGGCCCATCCCCTGACTACCCCTATGATCACCCAAGAAGTCTCCCACCCGGTAGCGCCAATAATCATAATATCACAAGGGCACAGTCGAGTGGTCCGCCCTCCCGTGATCACCAATGGCCCATCCCCTTTCTACCTTTGCAATCACCCAGGAAGTAACACCCGCAATGCCAAACATATCACATAAGCATGCCTCACATGTCTCGGTGCCCTAGTAGTGGTCAATAAAACATTTATAATGAAACTCACTTTGAAATCATATTTTGCATGCAGCATTTTCAACCATGTTACATGTCGTGCATGCATATGAAAATGCTCATAAATGAAAATCGATGTCAATAGGTTACGCAATCTCATACTCAATGATCGTAACCACCATATTATGTGCTATAAGCCTCTTATCAAAGTTATGTAGATATTTCAACATTACTATGTCACATATACTAGGTTCTTGCATCGTAGTTGCAAATGGATTTTCACTTACCTTTCGCCTTTATATGTGTGAGCTCCTATGGAGTGTTATAGATTCCCTTTTTTCGCTCAACATTGAAAAGTCACCTGTATTGTCATCTAATATTAAATAAAATCCTCCATTTAATAATCTTAACACACACAATCCCAAAATACGTCCATTCACGCCAAAACAATTTAGACAAAATCATTATTTCAAGTTACCAATGACATTACAAACTAATCCCATAAGTCTCGCTATCTCTCGAGTCCAATTATGAACGTCAACGTCATCCAATTGTTTTCGACAACCTAGTATTCCTTAGGATATATTTTCTAGGCCCAAGAGTTCATTAGGGGACATCTAAATGTTGAAATCACATTAAATACCCAAATGGACAGAATCTGTTTTCTAGGTTTCCATCACCGTCCACTCATTTTTCAAATTCTTTTTCATGTCCTTACCTACATTTAACGACTCCCAAACTTTTACCACACACCTATAACATATATGTGAAGATAATCAGATCATAACATTGTGACAAATGAAGTGTTTGGAGCTTGAAAAACAGTCCATTTTCCACTACACAAAATCAGGCAGTTTTTCCCTTTGACTGTTTTCGGTTTCCATTTTATTATTATGATACCAACAGAATTATAGGCCATTAAAATCATTTCTACACTCCCTACTTGCATATAAAAACGTTCATATTGATATATATAAGTTAAACACTAAGTATCATCCCAAAATCAAGGTTTAAATCACTCAATCCAGCAATTCATCATCTCTGTCCAGATTACTTTCTTTCAAATTCTTGCAATTAATTACCCTTATTTAGGCATCATAACATCATTAAAAACACTCCAAATTAATCAAAAACAAGTTCAGATGTTCAAGAAATCATAAATCCCTTAAGAAATAATAGAAACAAACCTCAAAACTGTGGAGTAACAAAGCTGTTCAGAAATTCCAGCTTCTTGTTTCTATTTCTCTTTGACTGTTTCACCCTCTTTTCACTTGGAATCACTTAGGGACGAGTTCAGGGAGTTAATATATTATCTAGGAGGTAAATGAGTGGTCTTTAAATAGTTGAAGTCGTGCATATTACTTAAGGATTAAGAATATCATGGGCTGCAGCCACCTCAAGCAATCAAGGTGAGTCACTAAGCTGGAGCTGTCATCTTGGCTGCAATACTTGACTTTTCTACCATTATTTTTGTGTCCATTTATGATATTTAAGATATATATTCATCCTATATTAAGTCCTTGGGGATTAGACACGAAATTTATGCCTTAAGGTTGAAGCAACTATATATTAAAGTGAAAAGTCCCCTAGCATGAGCTGTCCAAGTAGGAGGTGGCTTCTTGCAGCCAACTTTGACTTCTCCCTTGCACCACATGGAGCCATATGTGACTTAGAAGAGTTATAAATATCTTGCGTAAAGTTCTAAGGACTTATAGGACGTGTTGGAGGCTCAAGGTTGAAGGAATTAGAGGTTAAAGTGGTAAGTCGTCACATGTTAAGTAGGTGTTGTCTCCTTTGATTAAATTATGATTTTACATCTATCCTTGCAGGTATAAATCAAGTGTCATTCGTTTATTTTGATGTACTTACAATCTATTTCACTTGCATTAAGATCCCAAAGTACTTTATAGATCTAATTCCTCAGCTGTTCATTTAATTTCTTACCCGATTCTCAACTGATTTCAACAATTCGCACCTCAATATTTATAATGTCGTATAAGACATATATTATTACGTTGTGATAATGTCACTTCATCCCTCATGTCCCAAATATGTGAATTACCTATCTAGGGTTTAAGGTGACCTCGATTAGCCAAATGGAAAGCTTGAACCTTCGTTGATACAAATTTTCGGCCTTTCAAATATTACATTACTTACCAAGCCAATCTCCAACATTTAGTTAAGCTAACTTTCTATCATAGCTCAATATAAAATTCACCACCTAAATGGAAGAGTCGAAGGTTATCATCATGTAAAGATTTTAAAGCCTTGATGATCAAATGCATCATTTTAAGAGAAGGCAATCAGGAAATTGATACAAATGACAATGTAATTAGCATGAAATGCATGAATCATATTGGTCAAATGTAGAACGTGAAGTTCGGGGTATTACATCCTCCCCTCCTTATAAAAATTTCATCCTCGAAATTTGCTTACAAAAAAGTTCAGGATATTTAATCCGTATTTCATCTTCTATTTCCCAAGTGGCCTCTTCTGTTGACTGATTCCGCCACAATATCTTAACCAATGGAATTTTCTTGCTTCGCAGTTACTTTATCTCTCGTTGAAGGATCTCTATCGGCTTTTCTTCGTAAGTCAAATCTGGTTTTATTTCCATCGGTTCATTCCTCAATACATGAGAAGGATTTCCAATATATTTTCTTAGCATGGATATATGAAACACATTATGTACTTGAGACATCGATGAAGGAAGGTCAAGTTTGTAGGCAACATTCCCGATTCTCTCAATAATAGTAAATGGACCAATATATCTCGGGCTTAGTTTTCCCTTCTTTCCAAACCGCATCACTCCTTTCATTGGTGCTATCTTTAAAAATACTTGATCTCCCACAGTAAATTCTAATATTCTTCTTCTTTGATCTGCATAACATTTTTGTCGATTTTGAGCGGTTTGCATCCGTTGACGTATTTGTGTCACAACCTCAGCCATTTCACGTACCATATCTGGACCTAATAGTTTCCTTTCTCCAACCTCATCCCAATAAACTGGAGATTTACATTTTCTACCGTATAATGCTTCATAAGGAGCCATACCAATTGTAGCCTGATAACTATTGTTGTATGCAAATTCTACCAAAGGTAAAAATTTACTCCACTAGCCTTGGAAGTCCAATACACAAGCCCTTAGCATATCTTCCAATATTTGTATAGTTCTTTCTGATTGCCCGTCAGTTTGAGGATGATAAGCTGTGCTAAAAGATAATTGTGTTCCCAAAGTCTTATGTAAGCTTCTCCAGAAGAGAGATAAGAACTTAGAATCCCTGTCTGAGACAATAGATAGTGGTACTCCATGAAGTCTGACTATTTCTTGTACATAAAGCTGAGCATATCGGTCGATGGAGTAAGTGGAACAAACTGGAATGAAATGGGCTGATTTTGTTAACCTATCCACAATAACCCAAATACTATCATATCCTTTAGTCGTTTTTAGTAATTTCACCACAAAGTCCATTGTGATTCTTTCCCATTTCCATTCCGGGATAGGTAATGGTTGTAATGTTCCTGATGGCCTTTGATATTCTGCTTTTATCTGTTGACAAGTTAAACATTGTCCC